GTGTGGGTGTGGGTGTGGGGTGTGGGGTGTGGGTGGGTGGGTGTGGGTATGGGGTGGGTGTGGGTGTGGGGTGTGGGTGGGTGTGGGTGGGTGTGGGTGTGGGTGGATGTGAGTGTGGGTGTGGGTGTGGGTGTGGGTGTGGGTGTGGGTGTGGGTGTGGGTGTGGGTGTGGGTGTGTGGGCGTGGGGGTCTCTCTCATTCTTACACCACACCCACACGCACATCCACACCCACACCCACACGCACACCCACCCACACCCACACACACACCCACACACACCCACCCACACCCCACACCCACCCACACCCACACACCCACACCCACACACCCACACCCACCCACACCCACCCACACCCATACCCACACCCTCTATTTTAAAGTGCGTTGTATTTTCTCTGGCTTCAACTTCACTGAAAGAATTTTTCGCTGATGATAACATTTGCTAATCCCGATTTCTTCGAATGAAATCATAATCGAAAACTATTGGATCAAATATAATTCATTCTGTGTCATGTGTTACTATAAATTAACTAATGTATTGCCAAAGCAATTAATTATCAGGGAGTTAGTAACTAACGAGCTTGGTAACCAACTGAATCAGTGAACATGTAAGTTGGTGACGAACTCCGTTGTTAGCAACGTCAGATGATAGTCAACTTAGATGGTTGTTAACGGATATCACAAGAAGTGCAGACGCGGGTGTCAATCGAATGTAATTATAGGTATGAGTGGAAGTGAGATACGAGTTCATGTGAGCTCTGGATTTTCAGTTCGTTCGTACTACACCCACACTCAGATGATCGCAAACCTCAGATAGTGATTGACTCTTTCAGTAGTAGGCTAATTAAATATCATCAAAATTTACACATAAAAAGGGTTTCATCTAGGAATGCATCAGTTCCAGTTTTAAAGTGGTAGACTACACCCAGTCCCTAGTTAGAACTGAAACTTGTGCATTTCACCAAAAAGACAATAATGCGTAAAATTGTAAGCACTAACCATATGAACATGTGCAAGGCTGAAACTCGCAAGCGAAGTAAAGTTTTCAACAATTACCAGGTTTGTAATTGCAATGAGTTAATCCAATAAATGGGATTTAGGAAAAGTACAATACTGGTAAATTATCTATACTACAAAAGAGTGTGAGTGTAGAGAAAGGGGATGAGGGTGGGATGTGAATATTCGTGGATCTAGGTGTGCCTAAAGAACTGATCCACTCTTACTCCCATGCTCACACCCGCACCCACAGTTTACCACAAACCATCCTATACTCGCACTCACCTACACTCCATATTCACAACCACCCTATACCCCACAGCCATAGCCAAACCCCCACCCACTACACACCATACAGCCACATTCACATTCACCACACGCTATACACTCACATCCACACCCAGAAAAAAATCAGATAACTCTTGATGCCAATCGTCGAATTTTCAGAGCATCTATTACTTTTGCCCTTTTCACAACTTGTTATAAGCTTTGTCGATTAAACGCACCTTTCTTCTAACTGCACAAATATTTGCGAAAAAAAAAGCCTAACAATAAAGATAATAATATTTTATTACCATATCTCTTTCGTCGGTAATAAATTTTATCGTTGCTTTCTTCAAGCTCGCCTCTTCAATGATAAAGTAATCTATATAAAGAGACGACTTCTGCTGCATTTTCGGCAATTTTTCACTTTTATAACATTTCAATTCAACGGCTATACGCACTCAAGTCTAAAACGCAACAACAGGTAAGGAATCAATCAGAAAAGAGGAAATCAAGAATCTGTGTATCAGAGGCATCTGGATGTATTAGGCGTAGGAGTGACGGCTTCAGTGTTGATGATAGTGAAAGGAACACTCGTAATCGCAACTCGGCACAGATCCCACAGTCACACTCAGACATTCAAAAGCACAACCATGGGTGTGGATGCTAGTCTTGACTCAACATACACCAGCACCCAGATCCTAATAGCCACAGTCACATCCGATGAGAACGAGACTTAACATCTCTTTTTCAACCACTCATCCGAATCTATAAAGTTGTCAAAAACTCCTCATAGTTTTTGAATAGATAGACGAATATCAGTTGATTGTTCCACAGAAGCCAAACTTTATTTTAACATGGTTTTTAAATCTTAAAAAGAACGAAAAATTGCGTTCAAATCGAAATATACTCTATGTTTAAGTTTCAATCTTGCTTTCCACGATATACTTATAACGAGAATTTTTGTTTTTATTGTTCTATTTCAGAGTAACAGTACTCGAATCAATGCTAGAAATTTATCAGAAATATGAAGCCAATATGCTGCGTATTCAGATATCCATATCTATTACAATATTTTCATATTCTGTATACCTTCATTTGTCTATAGTAAGAGATGTATCCCGGAGAATTTTAGACAGGCATCAATAACTATCGGTCAAAGTTTTCGAGTATCTGTGGAGTTCATTTGTATACCCTTCAGCGAATCATAACTAACACTGTGTGATTCAGGGACTTTATCGTACATCGATACTCACAATAAAATTGTTTTAGTTTCAATCGAATTCGGATCATATATAGTCAGGGTATAGAATTACGAAAGCGGAAATTTTCGGCTCATAAAGTTTTTACCTTCATAGGTTATCCAGTTCGTAGTGGAACAGAATCACTCATATCATTACTCTGCTGTGTGTAGTCGAATAGCGACACGGGTTTGTAAGCATCATATATGATTCGTACGATTGGAAATGCAGTGAACGAAGAGAATGAAGAAAAAGACAACCTTCGTGGGACTCGAGCCCACATCTTCTGCTATCGGGGCAAATGTCCTAAGCTAATTAAACCAGAAAGCATGTCTTAATCTTGGTTTAGCATCGCAGTGTATCATTATTGACGCTAACAGGTTTTTGTTGCTGATCTAGATTTATTGGATGGAATGTGAGCGTGAGTAAGAAT